CGCTCTACAGCGCGCACGCGGTCGAGATACCGACCGTCACGTCTCGTCCAATTTGGACGAGCACCACCAGTCCTCGCGCGGAGGAGGGGTGAACCTCGAGAATGGATCGTTCTGCGAGGTTGCGCAACATCGGTCGACGGCGCCCCTAACGGGGGTCGGAAGTCAACGCCTGTGGGTTTTTCGGGTCGTGGTGGACGACTCGAGTTCTTGCTGAGGAAGGTAGGTCGAAAGGGAACGGCTTGAAGGGAGGATCGAGTCGAGAGAACCCGTTGGCGGCGACAAAATATGCCGCGAAAACGAGTCCCGGGCTCGAGATCCCGATGATCCGAGTCAACGAAGCAAGAGGAAGGGATAGGGCGATTGACGGTGATGGCCTGGCATGAGTAATATGGGGGTGTGGTGCTGGCGTCCGAAGACTCCCGGCAAGGGGAGAGATCAGAAGGCCGCTTGGTGTGGGTAGGTGGTGTGGGTCCGTAGGTCGAGTGTCGAGAGCGAGAAAAGGGCGGGGAGGGAGAAGGAAAGGCGGGGCGAGGCGAGAGAAGTCGAGGAGACCTGCGCGAGGACGGTGACGAGTCAGTCTCCGGCACCGTGCGGCAAGCAGGAACGACGTCGACGCACCTCTTCGCATCACACTCGGCATCCACTCCGCATCCGCCACAATCCTACCTCGACGCCTTCCGAACGGAAAGCAGCAATCGGCGCTTCAGTCCTCAGACCTAGCCCGACGCACGAACAGCATACTCGTCGTCCTCAGCCTCCTCGCTCTGCTCGCGACTCAACGCATCTCCCTCGCGATCGACAAACAACTCGTGCACGGCAGCGCAGTGCCTCGCGCGGTCGTGGCGCCTCGAGAACTTCTTCGGGCAGGCGGGGCAGTCGAATTCGCGGATGCCGAGGTGACTCTTGTAGTGACTCTGCATGTTGAAGTTGCGAGTAAAGGGACGTCCGCAGCCGGGGTGAGGGCAGACGAATCGTTTCGGCTGCTCCTTCTTCGGCGGGTGACGTTTCGTCGAACCCTTCTTTCCCTGTCCGACGGGGAGGCGGATCTTTTGCTGAGACGAGAGCGTGGCGACGTTGGCGACTGCGAGAGCGGCGTTCGTGGCGGCTTGGACGGCGGCGTGCGTGCCCGAGGGGACGACGATCGACGACGAGGTGAGCGGCGCGCGCTTGGGACGTCCGCCCGCCATCGAGCGCGTCGTCAGGCCTTGCGTCGGGGCGTGCGTCGGCGTCGGCTCGGGAGGAGACTTGACGGCGGGCGGCGAGGGAGCCGACGCCGTGGCGGCGGGTGGGGGGGGGGG